AGAGGAAGAGATGCAGGTCCCTAAACACACGCATCTAGTGACATCTGCAAGGGACTGCCACTATGCCACTGAATTTAACAGTAATATACACTCTTCTTGGGAGAAGGATGCTGGAGGCCACACAGAATACCACAGAGGGCCTATCTCCATTTCAGTTAGATGCCTAATGGAAAATGTCCTTTAGTATGTGTATGTCACAATTTATAAACCAAATTTATTCCCTGTTTTTGCTCCTCCATGCTTTCTCTAGAACTTTTCCTTCACTTGTATAGTGAAACTGCCTGAAACCTAAGACAGTTTCAATGCTTGTAGGAGAAATTAAAGGCAATGGGGGAAAAAAGTAAACGCCCTGTTCTACAATTGTCATACTCACATACACACACACACACACACACACACACATAAAATTTGAGAAGTTAAATGAATATTTCCTTGAGTCTATGGTCAAAAAAAATCTCTTTATTTTCAGGAAATTATTATACTGTCATTTCTACAGAGACAATACATTTCCTCTGACAGCTGACAATGCTTAGAGCCTGTAGTGATATTATAGTATAAGACCCTAACTAGGTTGATAGACATTTTGCAATTTTTTTATTTAGCAGAGAACAGTGCTGATTTCTGCAGAATATCCTCAGACTTACAGTCCTCAGTTCACCTGTTAGGGGGGGCTGCATCTTGCTCTGCATTGCATCCTCATGCTGACTTGGTCTGATTGCCTCATCCCAGTGTGACAGATAGACTGACTGAAAGCTGACATCACCAGTGAGTTCTTTGCTTAGGTCCAGTTTTGAAATAATCAGCAAAAATCAGCCTGAGACAACAGCAACTGAGTTGGAAGAAATACATGGGGAGAATAGATTTTGTTTCAAGTTAAATATATCTTTAGGCCTGAGAGAAAAACTGCAGCAAAGCTAGAATAAATACTGTAAGAATTGAAATGGGTGTTTTCTTTTAAAAATACTAAAATGTATACTAACACGGTTTAAAATAGCAATATGGAGTGAAGACATCCTACTTGTAAATCACAGCTTGGAATGGCAATGAGATCATATAGGTAGGACACCTGGTACAAGTAATACCACACTTTTACTCAAAAACTCTTTGCACTTTTCATTTAAGGAACAGAACCTTACAACATTAACGAGATGAAGTATTTTCACCTCTATTTTGTTAACAGTGAAGCTGAAGCAAATGGGGTTAAGTGCCTGACTTGTTTTCTCCTGGAGCTTTTGGCACTTAGCATTTCTGAAAGACAAGCGCCAATTATGAGATCCACAAAAGGTGCTCTGGTCTTTAATGTTAGCTAACTGTTCAAAATTTTAGGCATCTGAACACAACACACAAAATCTGTGCCCAACCACTTTGAGTTCTAGCAACTGTGGATAGCCTCAGTTTTTGCCTGATAATTACGAGCAAAAGCATTTCCCTCATTTCTATGCACTATTGCTGTTCTCTGGACTATCTAAGGCTCTACCAATCCTGTTTTAAGTTTTATTTATTTCCTTTTGTGGAGCTTGTGGTTAAGCCCTAATCCTCAGATGTATTTAAGTACTCAAAACCTTTAGCACATTTAAAATGAATGGCAGTTATGTAGACTTCATTTAGGAATTTCATCTCAGAAAGGATATTGTCAAAGCATGCTCAACAGGGCAGCTGCAGTCCCCAAAGTATGATAATGCCCAAAGTATGATAATGCCTAGCCCTTAAAATAATTCTGTATATAGAACAAGTGGTTTCCTGCTGCACCAGATGCTCCAGCTGTAATCACAGTTTGTTATCCATGCATGGTCCCCTCGGATCTGTCCTGGTCCCTGGGTGCCATCCTTACCATGCTCCATGTATGGGGGGTTCCTCCCAGCTCCCTGTCCTGCCCCAGAAACAGCCCTTCTTCCCTTCTTCCCTTCCTTCTTCATTGCTACCTTGAGCTGTAGCAACGCAGACCTGTACACATGGTGCCCGGCCAGCCAACAGCCCAAAACGAACAAATAACTGTTCAGATCATGTATCAGCCTGTGCAGGCATTTATATGGGCATCTTTCAGTGTGGGCTTTTATTTGGATGCCTCTCCTTGACGCAGCACTGCTTTTTACGACATCTTAAAGAGCATAATGTCTTTGAGGCCTCTCCAAAGTTAATTTGTTGGTGAAATTGGCCAGTGACTCCAAAACATATTTGTGGTGGGGGAAATGTTTGACAGACAGACAGTGTGATAACAAGTAAGGAAACCAGGCTAACAGTCCATTGAGCTATGAGTCTTCCAATCTTTAATATAGAGGAAAAGCCTGCAAAGACTTCAGAGACTACAGGTGCCATCACACAGCATTTCATCTTGATCTAAACAGCATGAAATTGTAAGTTTGTGTATTTGCACCTGTGACACCTGCCTTTTGCCCCTGAGATCAGGCTGGAGCATTATATGCTGAGACTGCATATCAGATTATGAAACATTACATTTAGCAGCCTTCAGTCTCCAGGGAGCACACTTCAGTTATTAAGGATGAAAGACATAGCAGTCTTCTCCATTTGGTTCTTGGCATAAGAGCCTCTCTGTATGCAAGGGATTAATACTATTTTTTAAATTATTTTCTATAGCTGTTATGTGTGTATTATGTCAGCTTAGTGGAATCATTTTCTTAAAAAGGAAGTGAACCATGCATCCAAAACATGTTGGAAGAGCAAATTTGAAAGTTACTTAAATACGAATATAACAGACTTTTATGCTAGGGTAAGTAAATAATAACCTTGCCACTAAGGCATCCTTGGGAATCTATTAAAATATGCAACTGTCATCATAGTGCTTCCTCCTCTATATATGAGCCAAGAAACTATCTATGTCCCTCAGCCAACTCATCCTGTCTCTAAGAAGGTACCTCTCCTGCTTCTGAAAGGGCAAAGCAAGATTACAAATAATAACACTTTGTATTCTTATTGGCACTCCATTTCTATTAAATGCTGCCTGCAAATAACAGCAGAGGAAGCGTTCTTCCACCGGTAAGGCTAGCAGTGAATTGGACATTTTAGATCCTCGCTCTGCCCAGGCTCTCTCAGGCTGATCCTTAAATTCCTTTGGGTGTATATATATTGCGTAACTCAATACTGTGAGGAGATAGCCAAGTTAGTCGCACATAAGAGACAAGATTAAGCAGTAAATTGTACAGTATTGTGCATGGGCTACTTAACGCTCATTAAAAACAGGAAATATCTGCTGTGGAGGAGCAGCAGGGTAACACAGCTACACACTTCTGCTATCGGGGCTAGAAGAGATGGCCTCAGGAGGCTTGCTCTGTGCTGCATGGCTGAACGCTATATGGCTGTTAGGGAACCGCATTTCCCTAACTCTGTGGTGGCTGGTGGGGAGCAAGAGAAGCAGGAGAACAGAAGATAAATCCATTGGAGACTGAAAGTTTCCTACAGAACAGAAAGTGTCATTTGTGTGTTAAAAGAAACTGCCTCACAAATCTTTCACAACATTTGCATAGACTAAGTAGCCATTACAAAACTGAAGGATAGAATGGACTGATGAAAGCTTCAGAAGCAGGCCCTGATGTTCATAGTAAGTGCGCAAAAACTGCGGGACAAACTGCACTTTTAGAAGGACCCTATCTCACCGGAAATCTAACCTTTCTTACAGGAGAAATGTGTACTATGTACTTTTCAGTATGGAGTATGTACTCCATACTGGAGTGTGAAACCCCTTCCACAATTCTTGTCAAAATGCAGGACAAAGTCCGTTCTGTGGTCATATGACAGACGTCAACAAGAGCAAAATAGGAACTTGCCTTAATAGGAACTGGCCCTGTTAATTACCAGACAATTCATAATGTAAGGTTTAGACTCAAGGGATCCAACATGCTGCCCCCTGTCAATCCCATGGGATTTTGCTGTCGCAGAAACATGTGGCAGAGTTAGATGAATGTTATGTCTGAACTCTTCCTAAGTGCTCCAACTTCCTTCTCCCATCAGAATATAAAATCTGCACTTCTTTGGGGCTAGTAAAGAAAGGAATTAGGAGAGATCACACTGTTTCAGAGTTTATTTAATGCCCATTAAGCCATTTATATGGTTCCTACAGAAGGTCTAGAAGTGGGGCTGAAAAGCCTATTTTACCACACCAAACTCTCACCACGTCGTTAGGTAGCCTAGCAAAAAGTCCTTTGGGATTCTGAAAGCAGGCTGGGTCTAGGGTCCACACCTGGTAAGGAAATTGGAGGAGGTAAAACAAAATGCCCATAGAAGTCTCAGCTCCATCTCCACCCACTTATTTCATAGTCAGAATAGGTGGCCACTGTGAGCAGGGCAGTAAGCCATTACTGTTGAAGACACACTGTAAATTTTCTCCCTGCCTCCTCTTCTCTCTTCTCTGCCACACTTCCCCACATATGAGCGGAGGAGGAGCATCCTTGAGGCACAGTGCCCCCAAGGGCTGCTTTCGTGGTGCTTCAGCCTCTGCAACTCATCTTGCTTTGGGCTGTGCCTAAAGCCATGATGTAGCTCGGAGGCCTAGCAGCAAACATGTCAGCATTGTAATCAGGCAAAAGAACATTCACTGGCTTCACTGTCTGAGCTGAGAGAAATACAAAGTATGCATAAAGGTGAATTTGGTTTGCAAAAATTCTTTTAATACCACAAGATATTATTAGGCGCTGCATGGTGTTGGTAGTTGCACAGAGAAAGTATTTTTAAAATGACTTTCATCTTTATGATGTTCTTTTAAACCCTCACATTTGAACTGAGCTTGCATTGTTTCCGATTGGCTTGGTCCTCAGGAAAAGCTCTTCAAAAAAGATATGACTGGAAATAAGATCGGGGAACAAATAATTCCCAACAGGTTTTAAACTATTTTGCTCTGTGTCCCCTCCACCCCAAATCCCTTCAGATTAAGTCTAATACAAATGGAATGCATAACATCTTGTGGCATGAATTCTGATTTGATTTAAAAGACTAACTTCTGTATACTTGCAGCAATAAAATACAAATAATGCAAAAAGCTGGTTTTATGTGACAGGTAGTGCTTGCTAAGACAAATATAAACTTGTTTTATTCTGAAGCCATAAATGCCTGTGCTTACAGGTGTGGTCATCATTGACTATAGCTACCTGAGGATCACTTACAAACGTTGTTACCTGAATGTGTGCTTGCAGCACAGTACCCAACAAATCTTGAAGAGGGACAAAACTGTGGGAAGAATCTCAGTGCAAAACATATTTCACCATTAAAACAGTGCACTGAATAGCAGTTGATCGTAATTTTCCTGCTATGGTTCAATAGGTAAGTTCCACATATTTTAAACAATTTATCTCATCCCTTGTAGGCTTTTTTTAGGGAAGGAAGGACAAGAGAGGCTTATCATCAGGGAGGTTTTTTGTTTGCATTTCCTATGACTGCTATAGGCTCTCATATAACTGGCATCACACTGAAATTTGATTCAGGATGTAACATACCACATAACGACTACTCTTCTTTTCTGCTGAAGGTTATCAATTCTTTGAACATCAGACATAACACCATGAGACAGGTGCGTTTCCAATGCATGTGCAGCCTGTGTAGTTCTCCAGTGAATTACTTTTGCACAGTTTGGGTTTTCGTCATTGAACCATTTATTTTGGTTTCCATTCTGAAATATATTAGAAATATATTAGAAATATATAGACTTTCAGTCTATGTCAGTCACCATGACAGCTGATAGGTATGTGCAGCACATGCCAACTTTGTGCTTTCCTTAAAGTCGCTCTTTGTAGGCTCTCTGCTTTTGCTAATGATGTATGCTATTTCTTAGCTCACCTTCCTGGCACAGGTTCACAGCTTCCAGTTGGGTATGTGTGAGCACAAGCTGTTCAAGGCCTATAGATTCCTTGAATTACAGATACAATGAAGAACCTGAAATATAAGAGGACTGCAGGTGAAATAAAGAGGTAAAAAGGCTAAAACAGACATGAATGATGTCTGACAAGCTGGGCCCTTTGAAGGTCCAAACGGGAGAAGGGGGAATGTGCTTTCTACAAATTCAAGATAGGTAATTCAACACTTGCCTACCCATTTTAGCTTTCGCTGCATATAAATGACTATATATTATTCATAATATTTCTTTATTACAATTTGATCTTCCCACTCAACTCTTAATAAGTCTTGGTTTTAATCAGGCTACCTGCATCTTGTAATGTAATGGAGGCACAACTTTAAAAATACAAATTCAAAACAGTAAGTGCAGCCTCCCATGAATAAACTTATCAGGAAAAATAATTTGACATTATTGTTTGAAGCTTTGCATTTCTATAATGTGATAAGTGAGAATAATTTCTTTTTGCTGTAATTCTTAGAGGACGCAATGTTCACTTTATACAGAAATTAATAGAACAGAATTTGCCCATGCAATGGGAAAAGATTAGAAAAAGATGTATGCAGTATGCATTCCAATGCAACCTTTCCCACACATCCATTTCAGTTATTGCAGGCCACCTGTTAAGTAAATGCCTTCTGTGACTAGATTTAGGTACCATCTTCCAGTTGTGTGGATGTGCCACTTTCGACACAAAGGAAGAATGGCACTTGTCATTCACATCATTGGCTTGACAGAAGACTGTAATCGTGTTTTTTGATACTTGTTATGTACCACTCAGAGAGAATACACTCCTGAACTGTCATTTGTTATTTAAAGGCAGGATAGTTATTACATTTCTTGTTAAAACATTGCAGGGATATCCCAATGCTATGCAAGTAAAGCCTACACAGTATATTGGGATCCATAATGATCTATCACAGACAAACATATTTCAAAAAGTGAAATTTTTTGCAAAACCATGTAAACCAAGACTAGTGAGTTCAATTCATATTTTGAAATAATATTATTGCAGTTTAATAAATACAGGATTCCAGACATGAATAAAAAGAATTCACGAATAATAAGAATTCATGATCAGTATTAATTAGGCCATCAACCACAGGTTGATAAAACGTAACTAGATCTCTAAACAGAGATTCATATTTCTGAAAATACAGAATTTAGCAAAAACATGTAATGAGCCACTGAAATGTACATTTTAAATAGTGTTTATCTAAAGAGTAAAGTCTTTATAATTCCATGGTTTACTCATAAAAGAGCTGTTTTACAAAAGTAAGGAGAACACCCTAGGTAATAAAAGCATTTGTAATTGTTTATTTAATAGTTATTTTTCTTCATATGAGAACTAAATTTAGGAGCATGCAAACATAAAACAAGAAATGACTACGTGAAAATACCAATTTGTGTGGTTATGCTAAATGGATTGGATAAGCAGAAATCTGAATTATCTGAAATAAGTGTTCTTCAGTAGCAAGTTCCATTGCCAATAAATTTTATTTGTTTTCCAAAGTTAAGTTCCCTACTTTCAGTATATCATACCATCACATGAAACTATGGCAATTAATTTTGAAATTTTCCTTCCGTCCTTTTTAATTATATGAAATAAAACCATCTATATGTTAACTATCACTCAAAAATTAGAACTACTTGTGTTTTTAAGTTTGCTTGTGAGATTACGATATGATTACTTCTCACTTCTAATTCAAGTACATGCACAATACTGTATGCACGAGAATGCAAATATATTCTATTGTGAGTCTGCAGCAAGTCAGAAACTTTGACATAACATTGTGCAGCTATTGCAAGGCTTGAAAAATATGTGAAACCATTTTCCTTACCTCTGTGCCTGAAAAGTCTTTCTGCAGTTAGGATTCAGGCTGAGCATTGCATGATTTCCCTCCTACTCATGCCTTCCTCCAATCCAGAATCACTACCTTTCCCCAGTGTTCCTCCTTTAAATCTGTTACAAGTTCAATAAAAGTCTGTGAGACATTGCTTCAAGCCCTTCAAATATGCTTCAAGATGTGCCAAGGCTTGCCTAGACTTGGCAATTCAGAGCATCCTTACTGCCTTATGAATTGAAAAACCTGGTTCAAAAGTCCCCCAGAGACCTATTATCTGTGGATCACTGACACAATAAACCGGAATAGCTTTCAAGGAACCGTTCAGGTCAGTGATGTCGTTTTGTACATGGTACCTGGGGAATCTTTAATCTGTCATTCATTGACACAATTCAAAACTGTTCCAGACTACTCAGGCTTTGCTTAGGGAACTTTGAGGCAATAAATCTGTACAATCTCCTAAACCTGGCCTCCTAAAAATCCTTATTGAAGTTTCTGGCTAAAATTATTGATGAGTCTGTGGATGACTGGTTTTCTGTGCAAAGTGATTTGTTATTTTAAAATGGATATCTGCTGTGATATAACCCTGGACATCATTCTAGCAGAGGTTTTTGTGGCCCATATTCCTTATCCACGTGAGCACTGACAACACACAGGAATAATCCACCAGGGCTTGGAGTGCACCTACAGGCTGCGATTGCCCAGACCAGCCTATAACCATCTTTCTCTGCCCATGCTCAAGGTCTGCCCCGATACAGCGCAGCTGCATAACCTGGGATCTGACCTCAGTGAAAACAGCCCAGCTGCGAGAAAAAGCTGGGAGATGCCTTGCCTGGGGCCTCCCCCATGGTGGGAGCTGCATTTCAGCCCAGGCCCTTGCATAAGGTACCTGCAGCTATGCCTCTGCTGGCCTTGTGCCTTGATGGTCCTCTCCCTGCCCTCGCAGGGATCTGAGGTTCTGTTGCTGTTAAAGCTTAAGCAGTGGAAATAGGTGGAAAGCTGTGCAGAGCTGCCAGGAGGGATTTGGCTTCTACTACAGTCATTTTCCCTGTGATGCTGGGCAAAGGTGGAGTCTACCTCAGATAACATGCCACTCTGTTGTGAAGGGGAAGGAAAAGTAACTCTATTCATAATAGTGTATAGGAAAGAGAGATGATAAAGTGCTGATCTGCTAAACAACTTACATGTCTGTGTATCACCGGAAGTGTGAAGCTAAATAAGAAGTCCTGGAAATCTTACTACATGATTAAGAAACTGACTAAACTGACATAGCATATATTTTGTAGAAAAGCTTACATGACTCACTTATCATTAAAGGGTAGAGCTTTTTCAAGAACAGGCAGATAAAGAGATGCTGCCCTGTACATTCAGCAGCGAGATAGCAGCTTGGAGGCCCAGAATAGAAAGAAAGTTGAATGAACTGAAGGCTTGATCAAGATTAAGAAAGGAAAAGATCAGGAGTACAGTCATGGTTATTACAGATAAAAAAGATCTGGCCAAGGGAAGTTTTTGTCTGCAAGAGCCAGGACGAAGTACAGGACGTTGAGGTAATGGTAAGTCTCAGCTAGGATGTCCTCCCGGGATGTCTAGGGAAAGCAATCCCAAGAACTTGTCCCGTGCAGGTTAGGGAAACATGGTCTTCCTGCAACTACTACTGCATGATGCAAAATTGGTTGGGTAACTGGAAGCAAGTTCAGCAGATAGTTATCAAAAACAGAGGGATATATTAGTTGAAGTCCCACTGGAATTTGTCTTGGCTCTAGTGCTAATCAATATTTCCATTAAGAGTCTGAAAATTAAATAGAAAGGCTTCTTATGCTATGCTTTTCATATTGCCTTGTTACGACTATTATATCTGCAAAAGACACAGAACTAGAAGGGACTGCAAGTATCTCTTGACAAGCACAATTAGAGCTGAAAATATTCTTAATAAACAAGAAATGGTCTACAGAAGGACAGGAAATAATTCACTACGGATAAATATAGGTTTCTATTCTTAGCAGAAATCGACTGCATAAATGCAGGATGAACAGCTGATTTAGATAGCAGCTCTTCAAAAAAGGATCTTTGGGATTTCAGTGGATTGCAAACTGAACATGAGTGAGCAATACCTTATTCCCAAGAAAAAGAAAATCAACCATGTTAGGATTTATAATCAGGAATTTTGAAGGCATGTGAAATAATCCCCTTGCCCTGTCTAGCATGGATAAGGGAATGTGGGAGCTGGAATGTGGGAACCAGTTTTGGGCACAGAATTTCAAGAAAGTTGCAGTTACCTGAGCATAAAACTTAAGGTATCAAGAAAAAAGGAAAGAACTGTGGTTTTTTAACCAAAGAAGATACAGCTAATTTGGAAACATGGTAACAGTCTTTATGTACATTGATAGATGCTGAAGAAATGAATGAAATAATCTGTGTCCATAATGCATAGGACAAGAAATAAAGAGGTTAAGCTGCAGAAACAAATATTGATGGTAGACACTGGGAAAATCTTACTAATGGTAGAGAAACAAAGCACTTGAATAGGCTGCATAGGGAGGTTCTGAAGTCTTCAGTACTGGAGGAATTTCAGAAAAGGTGGTATATATGTTTTTTCCAGGGAAGATATAGGTATGATATGTGATACAGATCCCATCTTGGGAGTGGCCGTTCCTTGCAGTCTTTTCCTACAATTATAAATAAAGCAATACAAAGCTGCAGGGGAAAATTATGTTTTAAATTAATCTTTTCCTCATTGTTGTAGCTCTTTGTTTGGGTTAACAAAGCAGCATCATGATGTTGTTTGTTCACTTTTCACTCATTTATGATCTATTTTCCAAAGTCTACTTCTTCCCTTGATGTAATAGGAATTTTTAAAAATCATTACACAGTCCAAAGATTATCAAACAGATAATATATCTGATAATTAAATAAGCTATATCTTTTCATGTAACAGCAACAACATTTTCAACACAAAATAAATTAGCATTTATCAGATTCAATATTTAACCCCCTAAAAAAGAACACAAGGATATTTTGTATCATTGTGGTCTTAAAGCTGTACATCAACATTATTAGGTTATATAGTGTGTATATTCTCACTACGGTTTCCTCAGCAACTGTATTTTGGGTAGCTTTGCTATGGTAACCACAGATGATTGCTTATTTTACTGCTTCAATTAATAATCCAAGGCCTGAACCATAAAAGCAACAGTTAGATAATACAACTACAAAAGGTAGAATAAACATATGCTACACAAGTGCAAGCATTCTGTAAGAGTTATTTCTCTGCCGTAGGAATAATACATAAGCACATCGCTAATTAGACTCTGCATTTCAGTGCTTAAAATAGAAACACTGGGCTCAATTCTAGCCTTATATAGAGGAGGGCACAATAGTGGGTTTTGCAACATATGTGACAATCATCTATTATGTGAGAATCACATTATGTCAGACTCAACTCCTTATTTATGAAGGCAGGAGAATGCTTTTCACAGTACGCCCTTCTGCCCCAGTCCTGCCCTCAATTACGTGGGCACAAATCCATTAAGGCAAAGGAGCTGTTTCTGTACAGCTGAAAGAGAATTGCGCCTTTGTCAGTTTTGCTTACAAAATTTCTAATCACACTTAGCTGATCCATTGCTTTGTTATATAACTGGCAATGTATGTTGCTGTAAGACTTCTTAAAACTGGTGACAAAATAAATCCACAGCATTTCAGATTTTAGGATGGGGAGCGTGAAAGCTGAACACATCTCTAAGTTAACACTATTTTCTGTCTTTAGTTTGGACACATTTAAAAAGCATCTAGATGATCTTACACTTTTGCAATTTCCACTTATAAAAAAATTATTAATTTTTTTGCAGTTCACTCTCTCTTTCAGCACTTTGTCATCTGACTATGAAGGGGCTCCTAGATTTAATTTTAAATGCAGTCTAGAAGCCTGGTTTACGTTACCAGTCTGGATCTGAACGTTGCTTTCACGGGCTATAACTACACAATTTTTTCCTCACATCAGCAATGCACTTACATTGCATGTAGGTCAAATCACCCACTCTTTCGAAGTACATGGTTAACCTGTGTAAGTTAACCTATGCATGGTCTGAAAATTCAAATACGCTGAAGTCTGGGACTTGAACTTCTGGTCTTTCTATAACAATTTTAGCATTCTTTGATATACATTCTGTTATGCCATAACTGTGCAATGTTTCCCCCTATTGATGAACAACTAAAGAACGCGATGCAATGCAATGTAATAACATGTAAGGATAACCGACTCATGTAGGTCCTAAAGGCAGTTTATCACAGTAGACTGTGGAATCCCAATGGAAGAACACAGGCAACTAAGCACCTATATGCATGTATATGTATATATATGCATATATTTTTTTTTATCTGGGCCCCATTGTCTTGTGTCTCAATGCCTCCACAAGACCATCTTTCCTACTTCAGTAGATTTTAGACTGTGAGCTGCATATGTGGTACTGTAATATCTAAAGGAGTACGGTGGTCACACAGATAGCCATATTAAACTCGATGTCATTCAATATTTGCCTGTTCAGCTCTCCCAGCTCAGGTAGATGGCAATCCCTAATCAAGAAAACAACCTCAAATTCCTCTTCGTGTAAACCAGGATTCCATAGTTTTAATGGTTTTTGATCCTCAAGTCACTTAGCTAATGGAAATACTTCAGTCATTTCCTAATACAGCTGATCTTGCCTAATCTTTTCTTCCTTACAACCAGTTTGCTAGCTGATGCACTTTTCTGCAGTCAGCCTATCTCTTTCTAAACAAAAAGGTCAAATCAGAGCCATCATTTTCTGAAGTTAACATGTGGATTTCTGAAGAGAATATAGGAATTTCTGAATCATTACCTCCTGACTAATCTAAATGAAGGCAGAAATACAAAACAAAATCCTCCTGTGCAGGTGCAGAAATACCCATTGAATTTTTCAAAATACAAAACCTGCCTACACATTCCATGAATGAATTGAGAAGCGTTCACTGGCTGATAACAAAACACTCACTGTAAAGATGACCTTATTGTTTATCATCAGATTTTTCCAAGTGCTCTAAAATCCATATGCTGACCTAGATTGCCTTGAAAATCTCCAGACCTTAAAACATTCAGACAAGGATTATTCCAAAATCCAGGACTGACTGAGCGAGGCATAATGGAGATAAATGCCACACTAAAAAAAAAAAAAAAAACACATATTTTCAGATTTTTTTCTCCTTATCCCAAGAAAATATGGCTCTAATATACCTCAAACTGGTATTTCAAGCTCTGGCTCAATTCCACCTGATGTTTTGCACAACTCTTTTGTGAAAACAGTCCTTACAGTTTTTTTTTCATGGTGAAAATTTGTTTAGCTGTG